CAAAAAAAAAAAAAAAAAAATGATTCACCTTACGTGAGGTGCCCAGAATAGGCAAGTTCATAAACACCAAAAGTAGAGAAGAGGTTACTGGAAGCTGGGGAGAGCAGGGATGGGGAGTAACTGATGGTTCCAGCATTTCTATTGGGGGTGACGAAGAGGTTTTGGTTGGAAACAAGTAGTAGTGATGTCTGCACAACAAAGTGAATGTAATTAATACCACTAAGTTGTTCACTTAAAAATGGTTTAGATGGTGGATTTTATGTTATGCATGTCTCTATAAACGAGACAGCAGATCAGTGGGTGAAATATAAAATATGTGAAATATATGAAAGGTATGGGGCAAAAGTGGGACCCTTTTGAAGAAATGGAACTGGCCTAAAACTGGATTTGTTGATGGTTGCAAAACTCTAAATTTGGTAAAAATCATTTACATATATACGTATATATGTATTTATGTGTGCATATCTCCCTTTTCTATAGTTAAATTTGTATTGCCTTGAATTTGAACTCTAATTTTTATGTAAAGGCAAATAATGCCTAAGGTCTCATTGTCTCCACTATCAAGTCACAGTTTAAGAAAATGAAATGAATCTAACCTTTCCTTTGCCAAGAAATTGTCTTGGGTTGTTTGCATTACCCTATCTGCACTGAAAGCTTATACCTTTAATGATCTTCACTATTCCAGTAAATAGGTTTAAAATATTATCATATTCATTTTGGTGCCAATTAATGCACTTAAGATATTTTATTGATGTTATTTCTGTACTATGTTAACAATGAGGGAACTATATATAGTAATTATTTTAGTTTTAGGAAGCACTTAACTAGATTAAAAGCTGTAAGTAGCAGATATTACATTTTAGAACAGTGGTCTAATCATATGCTGGGATTTGTTGTTAGCCTGGTCTGTATCTTCTTATCAAAAGGAGAGTTAATAAAATTAATGTAGACACTAAGATTGTGTTGGCAAAAGACCTAGCTCTATTAGAAATAAAAATCCCAAGGTCTGTCATTTTTTAGATATATGGCCACATATAAAGCCTCTGTTGGGCCGGCCCTGTGGCGCACTGGAGAGTGCACTGCTTGGGAGTGCGGTGGCGCTCCCGCCGAGGGTTCGGATCCCATGTGGAGACCGGTTCCCGCTCACTGGCTGAGCG